TTTTTTTTGTTTTCGATTTAGAACTTCCAGAACATTTATTTAGAAAATCAAAATATATCCAAGTATTAGTTTGAAAATTGGTAAAAAACGCTCATTTAACGCTTAATTTTATATGGCTGAGGTTATCACTTGAGCTCTGTAACATTTCCATATTATGAAAATCAAGGTTAACAAGTCTGTGAGCTGACTGATTTTCCCACTTTCATGTCTAGATTATAGCCCGCGACAGAAAATTTAAAATAATGATGAAAAGAAGAAGAAGAAGAAGAAAAAAACAACATCATCAACAAAGAACAAATGCAAGTTTATGTAAAATGAGCCGTTTACCTATCACTTTAAGGAACGTACAATTAGTCTCTTCCCCAAAATCGTTTGACACGTGACAGCAATACTTTCCTCCTGATTCTTTACCAGTGATGTTGAATGACGTCACACTGGAATTAGCAAATGTTCTGTTCGTATCTCTGTGTGTCCATGTAATACGAGGTGCTGGATATCCAGAGGCATTACATCTTAATGTTATTGAATCTCCTTGTTTGCCATGATGGCTTGAGGTCAGATAGTTGATACGAGGAAAAGCTATATACAAAAACAGAGAGGGATAAAAAGTAAGATTTCGCTCTTGATGGTGGAGGGTAAAGGAAAACTTGCACTAACGTGACCCCATTCCCATCCCTAAAACTGGCATTTATTTCAAAATGAACCATAAGAAATAAGAGCACCTCGATACTAGGGAGGCAGAGTTTCAATTGAGCTAATAAAAAGCGAAAAAAAAACTAATATTTTATAAAGGTTTGCATATTGGGAAAAGGAGCATTACATTTAAACATACAAATCCTTATAAAATATTTGATTATTTGATTATTTGAGTATTTCTATTTTTCATATATTTAATTTGTTGAGCTGAAATGTATCAAAATAAATAAAAGTTTTCATACCGAGCATGCCGGACAATCAATGGAACTGATTGATTGATTTAATGATTCGTGGTTGTTTGTTTAATAAACAACGGCTCGCAGCTTTGTTCAAGACGAAGGAGTCTTAGAAAGACTTTTAAAATCTTAAAACGAACAATTCAACATCTAGATATGATTTATCAATCGTCTCAAGCTGAAAGGAATTTAGAAAAAATAGAGTCCCTCATATCTCAAAATTTTCCCCTGCGAATCCATAGTCTTACGAACCGCCCTGATTTTCCATAATTTACTGAAAAAGTCCCAACAGTTCGCAACATGTCCGCTCGAATTACTGTTTTACCTCCAAATGAAGAGCAAAWTTTTTTACTCGAAGTAGAATGACAAACAATAACAGTCCATGTAGCTCTTAATTGATTTTTTTTGACAAAGATCTCAAAACTTTGGAATTTCTCCCTATCGATCAATGTCAGTTAACGACAACAAATTTTTTTGCTAGTCCCAAGTTTTTATAAGGGTGACAAGTCAACTTCCAAACTGAAAGGAAATCTTATTGGCTAATATTATGTGTACTCATTACGCGAGCCAAAAGGTGTGGAAAGCGTTCAGTATAGTGTTTGTGTCAGACTCTCCTTTCTTTCTCTTTCCCCTTTCCACTAATTCGTTACACAATATCTAGCTTAAAATCCAATAGCTCTCACTGGCAGCTTTTTATCTCACCGCTCGTATTGAACACGACGCTTTTACGGCAAGGCAGTTGAGTTATAGCAGTTGAGCACGCCACTCCGACAAACCAGTGGCATTTTCATAAGCGTAGCATTATAGCAACACTATGGCGTCGAGATTCGCTAACAAAATTACCACAAATCTTCTAGAGACTTTGATAGATATCTT